ACCTCGGTCGACTGGTCCTTGTCTACCACCTTCTTTTTACGTATTAGTGATGTTAAATAGACCTAAAGTGGCCCGTTGGCGGACTTGTACCGCCACCCGGCAATCGGTACTGAGGTATTCCTTAACGCGTGCGCAATCACTTGGACGGGAAGAAGTTGTATACTGGATACAACGACTTCCGGAGCAAGCATTTGCCACGGCCCTCGCTCAGTAGTATCCTTTGTGTGGGGATTTCTAAAAGAAAAAGTGTACCAGACTCCCGTAACCACAACAGATACGCTAATAGACAAAATCAGGAATGCATGTGATGAAATAAGGCCTTATTTGAATAATGCTATACCACGTTCGATCATTCGTAGATGTGAATTGTGTATTGAACAGTTGGGATTACATTTCGAGAAACTACTTTAGATTTTGTATGTTTGTCCTAACTATCCAATAGCATTTTATTTTTAAATAATAAATTTAATTTGTTAAAAATAATATTGGAAAATTAAACAAATTAATATTCTGTTTTTTTGTGTTTATTTGGAGTTAGGAATTATTGCTGTGTTTAAAAACACAATCTAAACGATCATCTTAATTACTTGTAATGCCCAAATCGAAAATGTAAAAAAAATATTATTTTCCCATAAATAATTAAAAATGCATCGAACCTTAAAAAACGAAATATCTCAAAAACGGTTATTTTAATACACTACAGGTACAGTAGAGAGCGCCCTCTAGCGGCTACAGTAAAACTATGCCCATGGTTCGTTTTGTCGTACCAAAGAACCCTTGTATACCAATTTTCACTGTTATACATCAAATATTGTTCGGAATATTTAAAAAAAAACTATTTTAGAAAGTAAATTTATACACCCTGTATTTCGGAAGCCACGCATTTTTCGACCCATGTTTATATAGACTTTATGCATTCATTTTAAAAGTTCTATCGAATCTTAAAGTTATGCAACAATAAACTGAAACACCCTGTATATGTCACATGATCGACACAGAAGATCGCAGCAAACATAAAAAATTGACCGGCCTTGACGAGGACAGTATAACAGCCCATAAATATATATTACTTTGAGGTAGAAAACTAGATAAGTAGTAAAAAAGATCAATCCTGGTGCTCCGCCAAGACTTGCAACTGGGAAGTCTTCAGACAGGTACTTTTTTATGTATACTCCAAATAACACGAAGGCCCAAGGCCTAAGCACCCATCTGGTACCGGGGGGCTATAAGGGGATACAGGGGAAAGGGGGGACGCCACACGGACTCTGGCGAGGGAACACGTGTGCATGCAACATGCACACATTCTGGCCCTGCTACGAGATCCGCCGGGTGATACCTCCGCGTTCGACAGTCCATAGCCAAACGCCCCGCGACTGACTACGAGACCGAAGAGTCTACCACTGTGGCCATCACTGCTGCCTCTCGTCTCTCTCGTCCAATCTCGTAGACTACCCAGAAAAGCCGCATGGAGAGGAAAATTTCACTGCCATCAATAAGTTTACCATACTAGCCTCAGTACTAATAATATCATAGCGGAATGCCCTATTGGTGGAGCAACGATATCTCTCAACAGGGGCAGAAATGTCACAAGGCACGCAGAACTCTTATGAAGCTCGTCAAACACGGGCATAGGCATCCGGAAACGATCATAGAAGAAGCTGGCTCCCTGTATAAAACACAAAAAAGAAGATTCAGCAAGTGATCAATGAGTCCAAGAAACAACAGTGGGACGAACTTTGCGACAGCATTCACGAGTAGTTGACGAAAAAAAAGCTTATACCTGACATCGGAAAGTAGATTGCTTGCAAACACAGACGACCGTACTACCGTTTAACGTAGGCACTGATGCAGCATGGTTCTTTTCGAGTATTTACGAAGAGAATACAAAAATCAGATAGCGATGAGTACATATCCTATCGAAAAGAAGACACGGCTGCACACACCCTCTTAGAGTGCAACAGATGGGAGCAACAAAGGGCACAAGTCGTAGTTAGCCTAGGACACGACCTGACGGAGACCAACCTGATCAGCACCATGATGGCGAACAATCAATCGTGGGTAAAAATACAAAGATTCATCAGGGAAAAATTATCCTCTAACGAGAAGGATGAAAGAAGAACGGACAGCCCATACTGATAATGCATATACTTCGAAAATGTACTGTAAACACCGCCGAGGAAGCAAATACATATGTGAGACATAGTCAAGCTGGTAGTAAGCGCACGCGAATCCCGATATGCGGGTGGGGGAGTGGAGTTTAGCCCATGATGTGGCATAACCTGAATGCGGATATTAGATATCCGGTCCCAGGTATCTCTTGGTGATTTCCTCCCAAGAAAAAAAATGTCAACCGCGGTAGTTGGAAGCATTTGCTGACTGAAATAAGGGGATTCACCCTATCGCTATTGGGAGAAAAAGAAGCTGCTCCAATCCTGGACGGATTTTTTTGCAATTTTTCATGGGTCACTTACACTTTATTGGTTCTGCAATATTTTTGGTCCTTGGAAAGTTGTATTTTAGATGCTAAACACTCGGGAAGAGTAATTAAAAATATATTATGAATTCGTCACAGATATATAGGAGTTTTGGAGTTGGTTGATTGCTTTAACAAGCTGCAAGGCTGGCCAAAAATATATGGTTATTTGCTAGGTCTATGGTACAGTTACTAAGATCAGATAATTGGTTGTTCCATATTGCAGAAGACTTTATTTGGTATTCTGTCCTTGCTGTAGTATTAACAGCTGATGTTCGCTTGGTCACTGGTACAAGGTGTCCTGCTATAAATTGGCTTCAGCATAAAGGCGTTACACCCTCGTACGTTGGTTAACAAGAAGTCTCAGAAATGATGGTTTCAGGCAGTACTTCTTTTGGACAGTCTTCTACTTAAGTAGAAATTGCCTATCAAACCGCAACAAAATCTGTAATCTCAACGACAGGAAAGCATAGTCCACTGATTCACAAACCTATTAAAAGTGTCTTGAAAGTGAATCAGGCGTAACTCCTTTAGAAATATCATCCCAAACTTCAGAGGATCTAGGCTCTGGAGAAACGTCAAAATAAAATAAATAAGTACTTCAGAATCCTTAACCGGCAAATAGGGGTTGTTATAGGAAGTCACTCGGTAGGGACCACGGAAACTTCTGAAGTTACTAGTATTCATGCGACCAAGAAAAATGTTGGACGAACAGAGACATATTCAAGTAAAGTTTCACTTCAAGACCATTCCTCAGAACAACCGGACCTTCAGAGTAGCTCAAAATAAACTGAAGTATCTAATGGTTTACAGCCTCAAGGTAGGAAACGATTACCCAGATAAATGTAGGTTTTGATCACCATTCGTCATATCGGGCTGAATTTGAAAAAAATTCACCAAGTATTGATCATATAAAATTGATGGCGTGAATCCAGGAAGGGTTAATATATTCTGCTATGCGGTATAATCTAGAGACTTTACAATTAAGATGTTAATTAGATGCAACGAATTTTCAGATGTTAAATTTTTGTATATCCCCGTTAAACGCGAGAATTCGTACCTTTCACTTCAATACTTCTCGTAACAACATAATATTGAATTCGTTATTATGTATATATATAATAATCATAGTTCTATCGCGGACAGTTCTGAAACCAATTTCAACTGTATCCGTAACATTTACTAAGGGGGCTGCTACTCCAGCCCTTTCTGTTTGTTTTATGTTACTGTTATTGTACAGACACTGTTAATTTGATTACCATTATATTGTCCTGTAATTGGATTGGTCAGTTGCAGATAAATAAAAAAGTGGATGAATGAATATGTAAATAAAAAAAAACAAATTAACCACCAGAATTGAGTTTAAGCTGTGCGTGGCGGGGTGTACATATAAGCGTCTTTCCTTGGTCATAGAGTGCACACAATTAGTTCCCTTGGCTGTCGGAGATATCCGGAGATATTAATTCCTTCTCCTCATAATGTGGATTTTGGACACACTCTTTTGTTAAAGTTTCCACCCAGTCAGAGAGCCGATTCTGGCTCAAAAATCCACCACTGACACACTGGGAGACTATCGGCGATCTCATTGCCCCTTATCTTGCTGCAGCTATTTGTTGTTAGAATCCGAACAGTGACGTACTGTGAAAGTAGAACTGGGTATCTTGTTTTGGATCCTAAAACCTTGCCATCAATGTCCTGCTTAGTTCGAAAATAGTAATAAGATTTGCTCGCCACCCTCAGTGATCTACCGGCCCCTTAACTTCCACTCATCTATTGTATTGTCCGCCAAGCAATATTCCCGAGCAGCCATGTCACTACTCGTTTATTATATCTGGTCTTGTCGCGTTACTTATCAGATGGTTGTGTACCCTTTGTTCAAATTGCCGAAGGAACAGCTACCCTTACTTCAAAAACGAAACCTTCTCTTTCTATAAATAGGTCTTCCGAATGCAGATTTAACCACTTCTATTGCAACTATTGATGTTTTACCTAATTCACTCATAACATCTAGCAAACACTGAATCTTGTTAGCTCGTAGAAATACTAGTTGATTTGATAGTGATTCCTGACTCATTCAGTTGTATTCAGTATACCAGAACTAGCTCAAAAAAGACTTTGATAAGTAGTTCAGACTTAACCTGATGATGTCCATAGAAAACACATAGTTAATTTGCTTCGCCAGAAACGCACTAACCCTGATGCCCTATATAATCTAGTATTTTTCACACCTTGTAAAATGATGGCCAAAGCCTCAATCTTAATTTATTTATTTATTTATCAACGAGCGACTGCCCAATTAAAGTACAGCATAGAAAATCTAATGTAAACCTAACCCTACTTTGACTTAGATATTTAATACCTAAAATAATCACAAACACTTCACAATCCAGATCATCTCTAAATTGAAATGGATTTAGTTAAAATTAAAATACATATGGGGAAATCAAATATTAAATATTACAGACAGGAATCTAACTGAATTTTGAATGTTTTCTGACTTCTGAAGAAATCCAACTTATTAGAATACTGTAATACTGATTTTCTAACCATGAAGATCTAGACAGGAAGGAATTACTAGCATAACTAATACGAAATGATCTCACATGGAATGGTTGATTCAGTCTTGTTTGACGAGAAGGCACATGGAGATTGATATTTTTCAAAAGTTCTGGAGCAAAACTAAGAGAGTGCAAAATATTATAAACTAGTGACAGGTCCCTCTGAACCATACTGTTTTGTTTGAATGAAATGAATCTTAAGAATTTATGTTGCACTCTCTCAATTGCCTGAATATGAACATTATAGTTGGGTGACCAAACACAAGAACAATACTCGAGATGGCGCCTCACCAAAGAACAAAACAACGTTTTAAATGACTGAATATTATGAAAATTCCTATCACATCGTTTTAAAAATCCCAACAGTTGAAGATATTTAGAAACAATCATATGTATATGGGTAATAATGGATAATTTTGGTTCAAGAATTACCTCTAAATCCCGAACTTGGGATACCCTCTTTAGATAACAAATTTTCATGGTATAGGTATGATCAATGGGGTACCTGTTATGGCTGAAGACCAGTAAATGACATTTTTCGACATTAAGTTCCATTCTATTCATTTGACACCAGAGACTTAATGAATTCAAGTCATTTTTGATATTTAAACAATCATTATTATATTTGATTTTTAAGAATAATTTCAAATCATCTGCAAACATTAGAGAACTAACAGACTAAAAACAGTATATAATATCATTCACGTATATATTGAAAAGAAGAGGACCCAAATGGGAACCTTGAGGTACTCCAGATGGCACATTAATCTCATTTGATTGAAAGCTTTGAATACGCATTATTTGTTTTCGGTCAGTGAGGTAAGACTTCATGATAAAAGATCCCTGAAAATTCCTAGACAATGTAACTTATTAATCAAGATCTCATGGTTGACCTTATCGAATGTTTCAGTAAAATCTGTATAAACTACGTGAACAGAATAACCTTCCTCCAAGGATTCCAAAACATATTTTGTGAATGTTAAAAGATTCTGTCGAGCATTTTGAAAGAAATCAAAACTGTTGGCTTATAAAACTACTTTGAAAATTTGCGGATAAAAATTCACACACTAGGCTCTCAAATACTATTCCAATGCAACTCAGTTTTCTGATAGTTCGATAATTTTTGACTTGTGTAGGATCCCCAGATTTCAGTATTGGAGTAATGAAGCTTGTTTTCCAACATTCCGGAAAAGTTCCACTTGGACATACATACAACATAGTCAGACCTCACGTATATTTATATCTATTGACCTAATAGAATCATATTGCTTTCATGCTATATACCCCTATTTTTTGTACTTATGATGTCTGACCAGTTTATTACTCACTTATATCGCATACGATGATGATATATGATGATGATTGTATGTTCAATTATCGCAATAAGGTAAATAATACATTAGCCTGTTCGTGTTCATAAGCATCATGAAATGTAGGAAGATCCAGGATAAATGCGTTTTAATAACTTTAGTTATCGCGTGGGTCTGCTACCAGCATGAAGGCTTCTCCAATGGAAGAGAACAAACGCGTTAGTCAAACTGTATTCACAGCTATTTGCAGAGTTAATGAGTTATTGTGTATTCATCCTTGGTATGATAAAAAGAGAAAGGAATTAAGCCACCCATTGGCTTTTCAACTATACTCGCTAGTGTTTGCCCTAGGAGGAATCTCAGGATTGGTATATGTGGAGTATACATCCGAAAGGAAAACAGTCAACACTGTAGATGCAGTGCTAGCTGGACTACATACCGTGATGTTGGTACTCTTGGTAGCAATTTTGGTCCTTGGTTCAAACTTCAATAGAAGAAGCTGGAAGTTCTTGATGACGCAATACGATAATCTCACCTCATCGCTAGCAGAAAATGACGAGTCGATTCGTATATTGGATGACTTCTTTTTGAAGTTCTGCCTTGGTAATGCCATATTTATAGCAATCGTGATTTTTGTGGTGTATTTCGTTCAATATGATCACATACAGAGTCTCTACTGCCTGATAACTGAATTTGTGACGGAGTACTACTGTTTATTAGCAACTGTCACCATAAGCAACTTTGTTATTCTCATAAAGTGGAAGTACAAGAGCATCGTCAAAGATTTAAATGACATTGACCTGAAAACTGAAGTTCTGGAGAAGACATTGACTCAGATAATGAATGCAGGTCATTGTTGTAAAGAAATGTCAGAATTAGTGAATTGCTGTAACAAGATCCAAGGTTGGCAGGTACTGTGGTTGCTGGGAAGAGCTGAGATACAGTTGCTAAGATCGGTAAACTGGATGATTGCTGCTGAAGAAGATTTCACTTGGCCCTCCTTTCTTGCAATTGCCTTGAATGCTTCAATAGGATTGGTAAGTGCGCATTGGCTTTTAGGCTAGCCGTCGAAGAGATGAAATTGCTTTCCTGCGTTGAGCCTTGGTACAACAAAAAGAAAATCGGATCCCAGCATCCTTGGGACTTAGGTTGAGGTTATCATAGGGTTAGTCCAAGATACTTCACTGGATCTGCTAGGTCCATTATGACCCACATCTACTGATGCTTTTTCTAATAATCCCACTTTCCACAGGTAGTCGATCAGCTTGCTAGGAGACGTGGCACTTCGGTTCTCTGCTTAAGGCATTGCGCCTTTAGGCTTGAGCTATACCTGTTATTTTTTGTCTTTAGGTGATTCCTGGACTGGATTATATCATATTTAATTCTGACGGAGATTCAGTCAGTACATTTTAAATGTAATCTCATCTCATCCTCATATGAAAGTGAAGACATAACTCATATATTAGATGAATTAGTTTTGACTTGCTGACGTGGTTACACCATCTTAATAGCAATCGTAATTTTTGTCGAATCTTTGCTTCAGTATGGTCATATACCAAACCTTTACTGCCTGTAAACTGCATTCGTAGTGGAGTACTACTGTTTCTTAACAATTGTCTTCATAAGCAACTTCATCATTCTCATAAAATGGATATAGAACAGTACCTTAAGTATCTAAATGACAATGATGCCAAAACTAAGAGCCTGGATTAGGCCTTGACTCAGATAACGAGTGCAGGTGATGTCAGAGTCAGTGAGTTGCTGTAACAGAATCAAAGGTTGGCAGATTCTGTGGAGCTATAATGCATTTGCCAGCTGTAGTGAGTTGACATGTTTAGCAAAAGGTCTTAAATGAAATAGCTTTCATGTACTCCAGCTTAGGACAACAAAATGGAAAACGAATGTATGCTTGGGCTTTAACGTCTGCTCGCTGTTCTTGGAGTTGGTACTCCTGGATCATGCCTGATTTATAAAAACAACCTGACCCAACTCAACCTGGCACAACCTAACTTGACCTAAGGGTGTCAGAATTTCAAACCGAGAAAACTGTAAGCTCCCTACTTATAAAGTACTTCGGTATTCAGGTCTTGCCTTATCATCTGTTAGATAATAATAACGACTTAAAGATATCTATTTCTGTTGTCGTTAATACTGATTAGTGCAAGAGTACGCCTACGCTTGGTTCTACAAGAGTTTCTAAAGTAATTTCCTTAAGTTGCTGAGTATTTCCAATTTCTTTAATTGAGCAAATACCATGATAATATAATGGCTTTGCCCTTCAAACCTACGTAATGGATTACAAAGTGCAGTTACACCCGACCTTGTCCTCAAGTCTTTTCGAATACATTTTACTAGCATGCCGCTGACTGTTGAGAAAAGTAAAATAGCTAGCAGAAAGATATTCCTCTTAGTTTGTTGGATATTGGATATAATGTGTATTAAACCGTGGTATGATAGAAACAAGCGTGATTTCAAATATCCTCTAGGGTACCAGGTGTATTCCTTAACATATGGAGTACTACTAATATCTGGATTGATTTACATTTCATGCCGATCTGAAAAATACTCAGTTATGCACATACAATATAATAAAGTTGATGCTACTCTGGATGGTATCAACGCCACGATATTGATCTTCTTAATAGCGATTCTTGTACTAGGAACAAATGTTAATCGAAGCAGTTGGAAGCATTTGCTGACGGAAATAAGGGACTTCACCCTATCGCTTGTGGAAGAAAAAGAAGCTGTTCCAATCCTGGACGAATTTTATTTGCAATTTTTCTTGGGTCACTTATTCTTTATTGGATCTGCGGTATTTGTGGTATACTTTAACAGACTCTGCGACTACTATTATCTAGCTGTAGAGTACATACCAGAATACTACTGCCTAATGGCTACTATGATTAACACTAACTTTCTTATCATAGCAAAATGGAAATATAGACATATCGCTAAGTCACTGGAAAGTTGTATTTTAGATACCAGTCAGTCAGAAAAAGTAGTTAAGCACATATTGCTAATTCGTCATAGGTATATAGGAGTTGCGGAGTTGGTAGATTGCTTTAACAAGCTGCAAGGCTGGCAAAATGTATGGATATTTGCTAGGTCTATGATACAGCTACTGAGATCAGTAAATTGGTTGATTCACATCGGAGGAGACTTTACTTGGCCCTCTTTCCTTGCTATAGTATTGACAGCTGGTGTTGGCTTGGTAAGTAGTACAGGGTACAGGCTATCTGGCTATATTGACTCTATCTGAATTTTTTGTGTGACCGTTTAGAAGAACGGGCAGATAAAGGTTGTTGTACTGTACTCAGACAAATGCCATCGCATATAGACTTCATAAAACGAACACCCCATAGATTTTTTTTAGGTTTGAATATACAGAGTGTTCCAGAAAGAATACGCCAGAATGATACGGCTGCAGATCAACCATATAAAATCAACATGACCTAACTAAAAGTTTTCTACTAGTCGAAATATTGCAATTTTCAAGCTTTTTCAAGAAATAACTACTTTTTGCTCATTTATTGTCTCTTACGGCTATAGAGAACGTTTTTTTTTCCTGGGCTACCAGTAATAGTAGGTTGAGACAACTGAGTATTCATTTCATTAAAAACTAGAACTGTATGCTAAAAAAAAATATTACATTTTGTTTCAATATGAAAACGTTTACTAAGCTTTATCTGATTACTGTAAAAAAAATGTACCAGACTGAATCGGCAAATGATTCTAAAAACTTAAATTTGCGTAGATTCTCTCTCTACCCATTCTTTTGGAAGATGTGCCTCTTGAGGTAAGAAGAAGGATGTCGTTACAGAATGATGGGTGGCCTGCTCACTGTGATAGTGCAGTGAGGGGGTATCTTGATGGAACATTCCCTAGAAGATGGTTTGCTGGCTAGGATCAATTTGGTGGACGCCACGCTCCCCAGACCTGAACTCTCTGGATTTATTTACTGGGAACGTTAATTTAATTTTTATTTAGTTAATTTAAGATATTAGTAATGATTCCTAATTCTTTATTTGATTTGATTGCTGTAACAATCAATGGATGTATAAAAATACAACCTAATGTTCCGTTCATTATTTTGATGCCTGCATACAGCAATGAATAAAAAAAATAATGGACTACTGTTTCAGACATTTGCTAAAATAAAAATCTATTACAGCAACTACATATTTCTAATTTGGACACAAAAGACAGCTGCACTTTTTATTTTTTATTTGTACTGTATTTCGGAAGTATTACGACTTCAATGACAAAACTTGGAATTATTCAGTGTTTAGTAAAAAGAACCTACAAATGTTATACTATTTTTGTAAGAGCATTAAATAGCTAGTTTTTAAGGTCATTTGCTGATCCGGTCTGGTACATTTTTTTTCACAGTAATTAGTCAGATTTAGTAAAGGTTTTCGCATTGAAAAGAAATGTAATAATTTAGTTTTTTTTAGCATACCGTGCTAGTTGTCAATGAAATGAATAATCAGTTATCTCAACCAACTACTAATTGTAGCCCAAGAAAAAAATCACAAGTTAGAAGTTCTTGATAGCCATAACAGGCAAGCAAGGAGCAAGAAATAGTGATTTCTTGAAAAAAACTTAAAAGTGAAAATATCTCGGAAACTCTTACTAAGGCCATATTGATTTTATCTAATTGATCTGAGGGCCAATCTACATCCCGTGTCACTCTGCCGTGTTATTTCTGGGACACCCTGTTGTATATTTAGTTTACCGTACTATTTTCATTATATTAATCAAAAACTTGTGTGTCGTTCATGTGTATCCGAATTCGCATCAGTTTGCACCTAGCGGCCGGTGTATTGTGTTATATGAACCCAGTTACATGTGACATTATTTTTTTGATAGCCATATTCGAATTCAGTGGATCGCTTATAAATGCAAGTTACGAAAATGAAAATTTTGAATCGAAAAGTCTCAAAGTTTAAGAAATACTGCAATCTCGGCGAAAACATCTTTCTTATGTAAATCGAGCCCGTAAATAAAGCATATGTTAGTTTCTCGCTGAGATCGATGAATGTCTTCGAAAGTCGCATTCTCAAAATATGGTTTCGAAACACTTTGATGGTCATATTGGATAGCAGCGTTCGAAACTGCCCTAGTGTACCAAGTTTTGTTCGCTTGTAACTTCAGGTTACGAAAATGCACAGGATCTTCAAAATTTGATGGCATATGCTATTGAAGAAACATTTTGAAAATTCCAACATAACCTGAAATCTCGAGGCAAATCTGTTTCTAGGGTAAATCGGAAGCGTAATCACGAATAAGAGTCCATTAAAGCCCCATGCCTAAAGGATACTGCGGGAAGCTTCACCAATTTTTTGAAGGTCAGAATAAAATTCATCATCTAAAATTACCTCAGAGTTCTTAGCATCTTTCACTTGTAGCTACGGAAGATGAAAAAGACAGTTTTGCAGCGAGAAACTGAAATTCAAAGGCTTCGTTGACGAATTAATTAAAAAATTGTAATCTTGACCAAAAACCTGTCTCTTGGATAAATATGGTACAGAGAGCACGAATATGATATAGGTTTTGCACTTAGGTCGCTGCTAGATACCGAACACCCATTTTCCTACTCAAGTTGAGGCTTCGCGATGCTTAGCATCTTTTGATGGGCATATTTCTTGAAAACCGTCCCAAATTACCTCAATTATGGCCTTGAGCCGCTTTAACATTTTCGATGAGCAAATGTGGGAACTTTGCATCAGAGAACTTTGTAAAGTAGACTGACTCGTCATCATGTGCAATCGTGCTTTTATCAACTTTCTGGACATACCACGGAGACTTGAAAATTCCA